ATTATAAAATTAATTAATTTGAATTCCTCCTAAACTGCAACTAAAGTCGAAAGTACAAAGTTTTCTCAGGAAAAAGGCAAAAAGTATAAAATCTAAGGCTTGCTATTGAAATCGCTTAAATCTCATTTTCTTGGAGCTTGTTTTGGTTTATCATGAAAAATTATTGATGATGCTTCATGTAACTTATTGCTCTTGTATTGAAGGAACCATGTTTATGAAAGAACACTCCTGTGGCAATACCCACAAAATATAACAACCATAAGATTCTCTGGTCACTACTTAAATCATCTCAAATTTCTTTTTTAAAACAGTGTTAATTGTATGAGACTTTAAAACACTGATTTTAACTACTAAATGAGGCTCATTGTTAATATTAGCCATTTTTTCCGCAAAATGATTTGGAAATTGAGATGCCTTATCATTTGTTTAGGACAAAAATCTAAGGGAAGCTCATTCTGATGAAGATTACAGTATACAGCTGAAGTTTTCGAATTCAAATTCAGAGGATGTAAACAAGCAAATTAAACAGATGTAAAAGATCAATAACTTTGCAAATTATGTAAGATCAATAACTTTGCAAAGTATGTAAGATCAATAACTTTGCAAAGTATGTAAGATCAATAACTTTGCAAAGGTTACTTGAAAATGCCTTTGTGGAGCTATTTTTGAAAATAACTTTGCGGAGATAACTTGAAAATAAACAATGACTTTTTACTTTTGTACTAGAACCGAATAACAATTTTCTAGAAATCAATATTATATATAATCAATATACTTATAGCTTATATAATGCTTGTGATTGTGAGTTCATAACTATTTTTGATCAAGACTTTTTTCTTGAAATAATTTTAAAGTTGCTGCTTTTAATCTATATTAGCAGCAACTGAAAACTTTAATGTTATTTTTTGCAAAATAGTTTGACTTTACCGATCTTCGATTCACAGAGTGTTGAGAGAATTTTTGGAACAAAGAAAACTTTTTTAAATGATAAAAAAATTAAATTTTTTTTTTCCGGCGTGTAATGTTGTGTAGAAAGTCTTTAGACACAATTGTTCATTAAGAAAAAAATTTAATTTTCTAAAATGTATTTTTGAATCATTTAGAAAATATCTCTTTAATGCTATATAATTGGTTTCTAAAAAAATCGTTATTTATAGCCTCCCAAATAATGGCATTGTGACCAATTGGCCTTTATATTATTTTCCTTCTCACAATTTGACAGTTAAAATTATGGAGATAATACATAAAACGAAAATTTGTTTAAAAACATCAAAAAACCTAAAAAATTTTCAATCATGCTTTTTTAAAAATGTGGTTTCGTAAGGTTCAGCAAAGTTTTTTATACTCAATCAAATTAGTTTAAATTATGGACACTTTAAGCCGAACTCTAATTAGCATTTCTAAATGTATTAAAGAAAAAATGGTACATTTTATTAATATTGAGGCATATAAGTTATTTCGGCGACAAAGGAGCAAGAGAGGGCTTTATCATCCATGTATGGCCAAGGAATACTACTAACCCTAACCCTAAAAATTAGTAATAATTAGGAATTTCCCTAATACAACTTTTATAATTCTCTTATTAAATCATATTATTGTGTAATTAAACAAAATTGAAAAGACATGATGAAATCCATAACACATTTATCCATAATTACACATTATTTATTTATTTGTCATATATAAAACATTTTACAACTTCTTACTTACAAGCTTCAAATTTAAATTGAAAATAAAAGAATGTCAGGAGCAAGTAGAAGACAGTAGTCTTATCATTAAGCCCCTACAGTAAACGCAAAGTGTATTTTTTTTCTTTCATAAGTTCACTTTATATAAACATATTCTTTCTCATATTATAAAACAATATAAAATAACTACAATAAAATAAATAGATTTAAAATAATAATAAAAGAACTTCAATAAAACAAGATTTTCCAGTATAACAAGAATTAATAAAAGAAAATCCCAAAATAAAATAAGAATTTTTTTTTTTTTAGTTTTTATTTTTCTGTTAAAAGTACAAAAATATATTTGTGTCTGGTAAGTGAAGCAAACATTTTAAAAAGAATTTATTGAGGTTATACTTTTCATACTTTTATCAAGAGCTGTATTCCATAAAAAAGGTCCTCGATATGAAATTAAATATTCTGTTTTTTTGAGATCAGACTTAGGTAAACTAATGTTATAAACGGACCATCTCGTTAAGTATTTATGGTTAATTTTTGAAAATCAAATATTAACAAATTTTCGAAGCATGTCATTTTGATATTGAAAAATAAATAATAAATTTTGGAAGAGGTTTAACTCAAAGATATTAAGTGCTTTTATTTCTTGGAGTAACGGCTTAGCAAGGGCGTATTTATGCACATTACATATAATTCTACATGCTTGTTTTTGTTTTATATATATATATTTTTAATGCTGAAACGCGAGTACTTCAAGCAATATTAAAATAGCTAATGTAACTGTGCATGAATGAGTAATATATATCTTTTAAACATTTTTTACTTAGCAAATGTTTTATTTTATGCATAATGTTTATTGTTTTAGAAATTTTGTTTTCAATGAGCATAATATGCTTTTTCCAATTAAGATGTTCATCAAATATTACTCCTAAGACTTTCATTGATATAACTCTTTTTACTATAAAGTTATTTATTATTAGCTGAGGAAGTTGAAGGGGCCAGTTATCGGATTTAATTGGTTGATGAAATAAAATATGTTTAGTTTTACTGATTTTCAAAGAGAGTTTTTTGTTTGCTTTGAACCAATCACTAAGATTTTCCAGTTCACGATTTACTGTGGAGAAAATTGTTTTTATATTGAAGTGCGAAAAAAAAAGCTTAGTATCATCGGTGAAAAGAATAAAATTAGGCATATCTGAGGATAGGTACATATCATTACCATAAAGTAGAAACAATATGGGGCCAAGAATTGAGGAACTTAAGGAACCTGAAGGAACTCTAGAACTTATTGGTTCCAACTTTGTACAAGTTGAGTCATAACATACTCCTTGTCTTCTATTTTTCAAAAAACATCGTAGCAAATTTAGGTTGCTGTTTCACTCCGTATGTTTCTAGTTTATGAAGAAGAATTTTCATGATCAACAGTGTCAAAAGCTTTTGATAAGTCAATAAACAAACCGAAAGTATAATTTTTGTTACCAAACCCATCTAGATTTTGTCTGGCTAAATCAGATATTGCATGATGAGCCGAATGCCCTTTTTTAAAACCAAACTGTTTATTTAATAAGATATATTTTTTTTCAAGATAACTATATAGTCTGTTATACATAATGCGCTCGAGCAGCTCTGAAAAACAGGAGAGAATGGATATTGATCTGTAGTGAGATGGTATAAATTCATCGCCATTTTTGTATACAGAAACTATTCTTACTATTTTTAATTTACTAAAAAAAAGACCAGCTGCTAATGACAATTTAAAGATTAAATAAAGAGATAACACATTTATCAATAATTGCACAAATACCAATAATTACACAATTACCCATTTTTTACAACTTTTTTTAATGTTATAGTTGTTGTTTTAAAAAAAAAAAATTTCATTTGCTTTGTCACAATAAAAACATTACATCATGTATGCAACTTTAATAAGTTTATAAATATATTTATATGTATATTTTTTTAAATAATAAGATAAAATTTAAGATTTCCTACTCGCTATATGCATATGTAGGGAAAGCACCGTGCTGTAAAATAACAAGTTTGAAAAAATTTGTTTCATTAATTTTATACAATCAGAGATTTAATCTATTTTTAAAAGCACTACGTATCGTAAAGATCGTTAAAACTGTTGATGATTTTTATTAAATTTTTTCATTATTGAAGATGTCTAAGGTTTATAAACCATTTCGCTGATTTGCGTCGGATTCAACCAAAGAATTTCAGCTTCTAAATGAAAAGCCTAACAGAGACAATGTGTGGTTTTTACTCATTTTACGGATCTTGAATTATATGAATTCATTACTAATATATTCATATAATTTAAGATCCGTTTTTTTTATCAATGTGTGTCAGTGGCAAATGCTACATATTTTGGTATTTGAGCTAGCTAACTTCCAGACATGAAGTAAACTCCAAAATTTTATACTTATGTCAAAAAAGGATGCCGTGCAGAAAGTTGCAATGATTGGAGTCTTAAAATAAAAAATTATAGAGATTAAAATATATGATCTTGGTATAATTAATAGAAAAACTAAATAATACCGGTTAAACAGGGTAATCCTGAAACGCAGCTATATAAAATCGGTTTAACATTTTTCTTAAATAGCGATTCCAAAGTCTTTGCTCTTTTGCTTAAATTCATTTTTGAAATAAAAAATGAATTTAATTCTTTAATATAATTCATTTTTATTTCAAGTCTTTAAATACCCTTTGAAAAACTATCAGCGAGATTACACGAGCTAAGAGAAAGTGAAAACAGGAATGTTTGAAGATAACAGATAATGAAACGCTAAATGAATGATTCAAAATGTTTACTGAGGTTAACATTTAATGGTTAAAATTAACTAATAACTTATTTTTGTTTACGAAACTAAACGAGCAACCTTTATTTTTTACCGCGATCTTTGTCAGATCAATTTATTTTTAGTTGGACTGGATTTGGTTTTTATAAAAAAAAGTATTTTCCATTTATTAAAGTTTTAAAAATTTTTATTTTATTTTTCAATACAACTTGTTCAAATTTTTTTTTTTTAATTTAAATTTATTTTAAAAAAGTTCTTAAATCTCAATAAAAGTGCGAACAAATTTATTTATTATTAAGTTTTGTTGACGCCAGACACGAGCCGAATTGTCTGACAATGATTTAAAATATTTTTTAAAAGCTAAAACTAAATTGTAAGCAGATAATTCACATAAAACCAGACATTGCTTTTGTAATTTTATAGCAAAGTGTAATCTCATAAACGTTAAAAATAAATGAATCCTCCTCTTTTAATATTGTCATTTAAATGACGTAATAAGAAATATTTTACAGAATAAACTTCAAAACATTTATATATTTCGTGCGCATCATTTGCAACACATTACATAAAAATCATATATTAAATATACATCATATATATATTATAACTGCATATATACAACAGCATCACGTTTGTCAGATTGTATTTGTTTGACGGTAAAAAAGACTGTATTAAATGATCAATGCATTTAAGTGGCCTTGAAAAAAGGCTTGACGTGTTGTTTAACGTAAACTGTGTAACGTCAATTGTGTAATGTCAACTGTGTAACGTCAATTGCGCAATGTCAACTGTGTATTTTAAACTATAGCTATTAGTTTTGATCGTTTTGGGTAAACCAAACTTTGTAATGTTTAACGTTTATATATATAAAACAGCATGCTGGAATAAAACAGCATGTGAAAGCATTTTGAAATTTTACATATTTTTCATTTATTAACACATTACTATAAAATGTTTATGCCGTAGTTGATCACGTTTCTTTAAATTTATTAAATGTTTATGACGTCGTAGATCACATGTTTATTTGAAATTTATAAAATAAATAGTGGCCAAATTAAATTTTTTATTTTCCCTGTTAAATTCTTTGGTCGAAAACTAGTTACATTATTTTGGTTCATCATGAAGTCCTGGGGGTACAGTGCCTCTATAATCACTTTTTGCTAACGACCTTCGTCTTGAAAGCTCATCTCTGATTTGAATAACTCGGTTTAAATGGTTACTAATTAATTTATTTATAAGTTCAGATTTTTCTCTCACGATTCGATTTCGAGTTTCAATTTGAGTTTTTATTTCGTCTTCGTTGTCTTCAATATCTAAAATCTTTTCGATTGGCTTAGGTTTAAGAAAAGTGTTATCAAACAATTTTTTCGCGTCAATTTGCTTTTCTATAGTGGCTTCGTTTTTCTCTTTTATATTTTCAATTTTTATTTCTCCAAGCAGTTTTTCCATTTCGTTATTTAATTCCCAATTAATCAAGCTTGGTTGACATGAAAACCCTACACATATAACATCAGATTATGTAATTCATATTACAAGAAACTAAAATGTAAAAATCTAATACTAAAACACTTTACATAAAGCGTTTTATTTGTGTCAACCATAAAATTTTAGTTAAAAAGCATTTTAAAGTATTAAATTAAACACACACACACACACACGCACACACGCACACACACACACGTACCCGCACACATATGCACGCACAAGTAGAAAGTGCCTTTGAAAATATAACTGGAGTTAGTTATGTAACAGAAAAATAACTTACCAGTCAAACAGACAAAAATTGATAGCATAACTACCCTTGGTATTAATTTTAAAATTGATTCCATTTGTTACAATTAAATTTATATTGAGTTACAATTAAAGGCAATATTTAAGAAAAATTATTGCACGCCAGTATAGTTGGCAAACTTGTTTATTATATTGACTTATAAGTTGTGAATTCAATTTATAAACAAGATTAAAAATTGTCTCCAGGTCAACCATTGTACGCGTAATTTTTTTTGTAATATTTTATTTATAAACAAATGTCAATCATTTTTTAATTATCATTGTAGCATTAAAAAAATATTTTTATTTGTAAATTCAAAATTTATTTAGAAAAAAAAGATTTCATTCAGTTTAGCAACAAAAAAGTTTATACTTAAAGTTGTACAATTAGAGAGGGTTTTAATGGATATAATAGAGTGGGACGCACTCTCGCCATACCACCCTTTAATCTTTTTATTTTAGCCGCGTGGCGCTTTTTAGAAAGCCAACTGTTTCTGGTATGTTTTTAAGTAAACATACCGCGTCAAATGAAGACCCATTTGCAAAAACAGTACAATTATTTCGACCGACAAACTCTCTACTAAAGATATAAACAATTTTGAAAAATTTCAAAACTCTCGGAAACACAAAACCAAGTAAGAATAAACAAGCACCTTTGGAATTATAACATCGTTAATACGCTAAACAAAAAGTAAAACAAGGGATCAAAGTGAAAAGTATTTTAAGCTAAATATTACACCATTTTCAAATATTTGATAAACTTGTTTGTTACAAACACAAATATAAAAACAAATGCAAAAAACTTATGTTTAGCGTTTTGTTTTAGATCTATAAGATATTTGATTTTTTAATAATCAAATTAATGAATCGTTGACCTGAGATAATTATTTACACAATGTTTTTGTTTCAGAGCAGGCAAAAAAAAAAATTCATTTTGTCTAAGCATAACTGTCTCACTTAATAAATGTCTTACTTAATACAATTTGCGGCAATTATTATTGACAGAAGTGACAATGTAGATAATATATATATATATATATATATATATATATATATATATATATATATATATATATATATATATATATATATATATATATATATATATATATATTATACATATATATATATATATATTATAAATATATATATTACCCTTGTATACATTTTAGAGAATTTTGCTATTGTTTCTGTTGATTTTAGTTGAAAGTTATTTTATTATTATTATTTTTTTCAGTTCAATGACTAAAAAAATAATTTTTGAATTGTTTGCGCTGATTACAAGTTTTCCGGGAGTTCCGTTATCCGGGAATTCGGTTTTCCGGTTTTTTAAATTCTTACTTTTTAGATTCGATTTTTAGCGAATTGAGGTTCTTTAATTTAAATGGAATAAAGAAGTATTTTGCTATTGCGTTCGAGTGTCGTATTTTAGTACCGTAAATTAGTGCTATACATTAGGTTTGTTGTCGTTTGTAAATGTTGTACTATAAAACTTTATTTGTTATATCACTTCACCATGAATTGTTTAAAAGTAAGCAAAACAATATATCTTTGTAACACATAAAATAATATACTTTGTAAAGTGATATGAAACCATGTTTTCATTTAAGCATAAAAAACAAGTAGAATGAAAATATGTTTTGATTAGTATTGAGTGCAATTAAGATTTTTCAAATATTGAGTGTCTTTTTTTCAAATAGAAATTTGCAATTCAAACCAACTTTTTGAATGTGTCAAAAAAATAACAAATCTTACTTAAGCTTAAAATATAATTTTCTTAATTTTTTTTTTACTATCTTTTCATACACACACACTTACTACTTCCTCCGCATACCCACACAGTTTTTTTACTTTGTCCGCATACACACACACACACACACACACACACACTTATACTACTTCCTTCGCTTCCACACACAGTTTTTTTACTTCCTCCGCATACATACACGCTTTCACAACTTCCTCTCAATACACACACGATTTTATTACTACCTATCTACTTTTTTATGCTTTCACACATTCTATATCTTATTATTTATTAGTTAATAATTAAAATGCTTTTAAATTTATTATAAGATTTTAAAACTATGAAAAAATATATAAAGCAACGTTGTAGTGTTATTGTAGAATCTATTATACCGGGTGTGCAATACTTAACCGCTAAAAAAGTAAACTGGTATCGTTGTTGGTGAATTAGCCGTCAGTCGACAACAAAAAGTCTATTTTTAGTGGTCCTGTGTAAATAGAATTTGTAATTTACTTGTTTTAATACTTTCTTTTCCTGTTTATTTTCTTTATATTTACTAAAGCATTTAGCACGAGAAAAAAATTGCCTACAATTTAAACTACTAAATCTTATAATTAATAACACTCATACGTAAACTTTTTAGGAGTAAAACTGGATGCAAATTTATTGTGACGTTTACATATAAATAGTATTGAAATGAAACTCTCAAAAAATATCGCATATGATGTTTAAGGCTAAACCTTTTTTAAATGTAACATCCCTGAAAAATTATATTTTGCTTTTATTCACAGTTATTTGTCTTACTGTAATATTGTGTGGGCTAGTACTTGCCATACAAAACTTAATAAAATTTAAAATAAACAAAAACATGCGTACAGAATAGTGTTTGGAGCTTGTAGAAATGCTCCTTGCGAACCACTTTTACGTGCGCTCAGTGCTTTAAATGTGTATAAATTCAATTTACACCAAGTTTTATTGTTTATGTTTAAAACAAAAATGGGATTGTCCCCAAAAATCTTTCAAACCTATTTTAATAAAATTAATTATAAGTATTCAACTAAGTTTTCAGGTAACAACTTTATTCTACTCAAACATAATCTAAAATTAACCTCCTATTCAATTAAATACCTTGGACCTTATCTGTGTAAAAAATTCCCAGATATTATCAACAGAAACAAGGCTATCTTAGAGCAATTCAAGAATGAATCAAAAAGATTATTACTGTTTAGGGAATTTAATTTTTCCGACTATAAATGTTTCTTTTAAAGTAAGCTCAAAACAGATTTATTTATACCAATGAAATTTAAGTGATGATGTTCAAAACTCATCTAGTGATTAATTATGAAATTTTACATTATTTTTTTATTTGAAAATTTTTGTTTAAGTGTTATTATACATTTTAGCGGTTGTAAGCATTTCAACACTTCTTAATTATTTGCTATTTTGAATTTTTTTAATTTCATAGTTATTTTCTGTTTTAATTCTGATTTATGTCTTTATATATATTTGTATGTTACGGTTATGTAGAATTTATATATATATATATATATATATATATATATATATATATATATATATATATATATATATATATATATATATATATATATATATATATATATATATATATCTCGGCGATAAGGCAAAATGTGCCTTCTTCTTGCTGCAGCCAATAATTTTGATAAATGTATATGCGATGTAAATAGTTTTTAACTGCGAAATAAATTACACACACAAAAAAAAACAAAAAAAAACTTCTTTAAGCACGTGACTGAGTTTATACTATTTTAAAGTTTCTTTTATTTTCTAAAATTAAAAAATATTTTTTTACACAGGTTTTGGTTTTAATCAAACAAATGTATGTTGTTTGTTTTCTTATTACTTTGTTTATTTCAATCTTTTTGAAATTTCAATTCATGCAGGCAAGTTTTATTTTGCGAGCTAATTTTAGCATGTTGCAAACAAACATTATAAGTTTTTTATAGATACTAATAGTAAAAAAAAAATCTATGCTTGAAAAAATGTTTGAGCTCAGTGAGCACAAGACCTAAAAAGACCTCTTTTGAACGTTCAAAAGACATCCAAAACGTTCAAAAAACGTTTAAAAGACGTATTTTTTTCGTCTGGGAGTAGTTGAACTTTTTACACTAGGAATAATTCAGTTTTAAAATGTTTTTTGTGAATGAATTCAGGTGGACAGAAGTTACTCTTCACTATTATTTTGAGTTTCAAATTCATAAAACCTATGAATCTTTTTCTTAAGTTATACTAAACTGAAAATTCAAAAATTGGGAAGTCATTAAGAATTCTTGCATACCAAGTAAAATAAATTTTGAGTGTTTTTTTACTTCACAAATTGCGAAACTTACAAATTTAGGTTTTTACGTTTATGAAATGGATCTAAAATTTTTTTTTAATTTTTTTTTTTTAATTAATCAGATTTTACATTTTTGTTGAAACATTTAGATAAACTGTTATGTAATATAATTTAAATACATAAAAACAATTCTAAAAGGATAATCGATGATATTTTGACCCCCGTTATTTATAAGATTGTAATAAATACTTTAATAATCAACGTTTCCGCAACGATTATTCGATTGCTTTAAGTTTCTAAACACCATACCGTATAAGCATACAAAAAATATAAGTTTCATATACGCATTTAAATACAAACTCACAACAATATAATTCTAAATAGCAACCCAATTATAAATTTGTTTCAATGTTTTTAAAACAACGATAAATATTAAAAAATTAAAAAAGTGTCCTACGTAAAGTGTTTTAAAAAAATGAATGAAGTTAATCATTAATTTGTTGAAAGACGCAGCTAAAGGTGCATTTTTTCAAAGGTGTACTTTTAACTTGTGAATTTACAAGTTAATATGGCGACAGTTGCTAGTTTCTTTTTATGAGTTTTAAACCTTTGAAATTTTTAATAGCGTAGTAGTACTTGTCATTTTAATTTATTATTTATTAATCGAACTTCATTGTGCAGTTTTTTAACAAGATTTTTAATTTTATAGAACCAACCGTAATTTTAACATTAAGGAAATTTATCCACTGCAGCATTTAGTTCAATCACAAGTGTCATGTGATTCAATAAGTATCGATGTTGTTGATGCACAAATGAAACTTTACAAACAACAAATTTGCTTTTGTTCGAAATAGCAGATCAAATAATCCAGATATATTTGTCATTACTAAAACTTGGTTTAATTAAAAAAGAGAGATAAATAATAAATTGTTCTAATCTAATTAAACTAAATATTGAATTAAAGGTAAAGATATCTAGTTTTGAAACAACTACATTATTTGTACTGTATAAAGTTTTAAGGAAGAAACAGTAAACAAGGGGTTTCAATAAAACAAAATATAAGAATTACTTAAAAGTTTAAAAATCAAAAGCATAAAAAATATTGCTAAAATAACATCGATAACAACGAGTATCAATAACAACGAGTATTCAATTTTACTCGTAGCGCAAGACTTTAATTACTCAATTATATATATTCATTTGCTTGGTTGAGTTTTTTTGTTTTCAAAAACAGGGAACGTTTTGGGTTAAGATTTTGGGTTAATTTTGTCATGGTTAGTATTGTCATAGTACTTTATAGCTTCCCTCATATGACATGTCACAAAATTGTATTCTGTACAAAAAACAACATAACTTATAAAAAAAAAAAACACAACTTATATTTCTTATCGTGAAAATAAGAGGTATATACTATGATTTATTTTGAGAAAGTTTCTTTTATAGTATTTCTTTTATTTCAATCTTGTTTACTTTTTGTGCAGCCATAGAAAAGTGCTTTTTGATTAAAAAATAATAATAATAACAATAAGGAAATGCAATGTGTAAGTTTTTCATTGGTTTTCCTGACCTCTTGGAATAAAAATCTAAAGATTGAAGTTTTAAATTAAAGCAAGACGCTCTTAATAATCGAGCAAATTTCACGGTAGTAAAAGCATTACAGCTATTATGCTTTATAAATACCAAAATATGCTGGTCGTGAAAATAACACTGCGTTATCAAAATTGTCCTGGTCAATAATACAAACTGCAAAAACTGATCTTAGCTTAAGTTTAAAAGCCACTAAAAAGGCATGATTGGGCAAACGTTCTCGATAATTAAGTGACATCAAAATAAATTTGTTTCAGCTACTAACCCTAATGGTACGTTAGCTTTTTCGTCTAAACTTAAGTATAAAAACAAACACTAACCAATCAACGAAAAGATTTTATTAATGTGTTGCATGCAGCCAAATTTAAACTCTACATCTATACTGCAATGAGCATCTATATGACCATTGCAACATGCCAGCTCTAACCATTTTTACTGGAACAGTTTCAATATAAAGTTTTCTTTCAAGTGTTTTTGATAACGTAGGAAGTAGTCTTTATAAAAAGATGAAGTTCTAATTGATCTTGAATTACACCTGGTCCGATATTTTTTCTTTATTAAATATCTGCAATTTAGTTATCAAGTGAGCCTGTCAAAAATATCTTTAAGTTTTTGTTCTAAACTTCCTTTTCATTTAAAGCTTATCAAGTTTGCATTTTTTCCCTTCCATTTAAAGCTTATCAATTTTGCAAATTGCACATTTGGAGCATTGTAGGGCTAGTGAGAAAGGCTTATGAGCTAGCGTAGCTGGCATAGCAGAGCTAGCATATGAGGAAGATAAACAATTCATTTATTTTGAAAATTACGTATTTTTTTAAATCAAGAAAAACTGTTACAAATACACCCTTTCAAGAAACAAGTACACCCTTCAAAGAACTGTTAAAACAAAGAAAAAAGCAGAAAGAAGAAAAAGAAAGTTCCAAAAAACAATGAAAAGAAGTTTGTGAAGCTAAAACGGCGGTAAATAAACTCAAGCTAAGTTCCTGTAATTATTTTATATGTTATTTTAGCGATATTTTTTATGCTTTTGATTTTTTAACTTTTAAGTCCTGTAGCATCCGGTGGATGGTATATGCTACTAATTCTTATATTTTGTTTTATTAAAACCCCGGGCTTGTTTACTGGTTCTTCCTTAAAACTTTATACAACATAAATAATGTAGTTATTTTACGAAAATTACGCATTTTTTTAAATCAAGAAAAACCGTTACAAATTTAAAAAATATAAAAACAATAAAACAAACTCAGACGTCAAAACAAAACAAAAACATAGAAGTATCGTAGGAACTGGATTAAACACCGGTGTCGAATTGAGCTTGAACAAAAATTGTTTCTATGCCTGCACTTAAATACTGTTTTACTCTTATTAATGAAATATTTCGGATTTTTGAAGAAGAAAATTTTATACATATATATATATATATATATATATATATATATATATATATATATATATATATATATATATATATATATATATATATATATATACATATATATATATATATATATATATATATATATATATATATATATATATATATATATATATATATATATATATATATATCCATCTATCTACCTATCTATCTATTTATATATATATATATATATATATATACATATATATATACATATATATATATATATATATATACATATATATATATATATATATGTATATATATATATATATATATATTTATATATATATATATGTATATATATATCCATCTATCTACCTATCTATCTATTTATATATATATATATATATATATATATATATATATATATATATATATATATATATATATATATATATATATATATATATATATATATGATGGATGGATATATACATATATATATATATATATATATATATATATATATATATATATATATATATATATATATATATATATATATACATATGTATGTATATATATATATACATATGTGTATATATATATATATATATATATATATATATATATATATATATATATATATATGTATATATATATATATATATATATATATATATGTATATATATATATATATATATATAATCATAACACTAATGATTTTGTAAAAAATTACGTTATTTTTTATTTATTCTTACAAACAAGAGGATTTGAACCTCAAATTGGTACAATATCAATTGAATAATCAATACATAGTTTTGACAAAAAATCATTTGATCATGTGACTATTTACAAATAGTTTAAAACTAATCTTAATTACCCAGTAAGCACAAAAAACTGTTTACCAAGTCTAGAAGAGGTTTAAAAACGTGTTAATGCATTTTTTAGATGTGTTAAAACATTTAAAACTAGAAGGTGAAGACTGGTTCTCAAGTTAACGCAAAGCAAGTTTGAAACAAACACTTGAAGATATATTTGTTGACTCGCTCAATTGAAAACAAAATTATAAGAATTACAATAGAAAAAAAATACAGATGTAATCTAAGATTAATAAAAACTTTTATGTCTTGTGCTCACTCGGTAAATATGATAAAATAATAATAATATCAAAGATATTACCAAATTAACAGCAGCAGTTATAACAGAAATAAAATAGTTGTATAGTATTAAATCAATATTAATTTTCAAACAAAAAGTTAGTATAAATAGTCAGACAGGAAAAACTACACACAGTATTAAGCTGACTATACGCAACAACAAACTTAACCTGACTGTACGTAACAACAAACTTAAGCTGACTGTACGTAACAACAAACTTGATATAAAAGCAACTACTGTATTAAACTAATAATTTAAGAAAGTAATTTTATTATTTATTTTTTTGCCATTTCATATATTTACAATAAAGACATATTACATTTATAAAAATTGGCCGGAGCATTGACTGTCTTATCACCGAGTCCCGTTTCGATATTGTCCGTGTTTATAAACAAAAAATAAAATATACTAACGTTAAAGAATGCATAACTTTTGTCAAATAATAAAATGAAGGTGTATTTGTGTAAATACTCATGTGCCGACATACAAACTCCAGCTAACGTCCAGAACTTACACGATATACAAACGTCCAGAACTTACATTGTTTTAACATTACAATTGCCTATATTTGATATTTTCAAACCTGAAATATTGACATTATAGTAATATTAGTTAAAAATATAAGCAAATATTACTTATATTGGCTTTATTTATTTTATACAATTTATAGGCTATATGTTGTATAATGTAGTCATATCATATAGTTGTATCATATATGTAAAATATATGTAAAAATATCTTGTAGAGTAAAAATATGTTTTTTATATTATAGATAAGATAATTTTTTTAAATTGCAATTACAAATTTAACATTGCCAAATTTAAAACTAAAAATTTAACATTGCAATTACAAATTTACATAAGAAAAATATATTTGCTTTATTCTATACAACTTAATTTACCATTGCAAACTTCAATGTAGGTTTTTTGTTTGTACGTGTTAAAATAATTAAAATAACTTTTTACTTGAAAGGTATGCTTGTTTGATAATATTTTTTTAAGATCACCAAGATAAGTCTGTTAATATTTATAAGATTTAAAATAATATTTTAATGTAGGCCTAAACCCTTTTTTGAGTCTTCCAAGAAATGTCTACAATCAATGGTGGAAGAAAAAATTTGTAAAAACGCCATGACATTTTTACAAATTTTTAAAACATTAATTCCAAAAATGTATAGAAAATATACCTTGAAGAGCTTATTGCTGACTAAGAGAAAATGTACACTACAAAAAGTCCAAAGGCTGCATTATTAAAGTTTTACGTAGCGGTGAGCACTGATAAAAAAAATCGTATGTTTTAATGCCTAATAATATCATTATTAGCTGTAACTTCAATAAGCCAGAAATTGGTAGGAAGAATCAGACAACTTAAGCTCATGGAAATGACTCCAGCAGATAAGAGAAGAAAAAGGTATAAGCTATTTATACCACAAAAGATTCACTGATCCGTATCTGAACATGTCAAACCATTTCCCTTAAAATTCTCACACAATGGCAAAAACAAATTATTTATTAGCACAAACAAATAAAACAGTAACTAAAGAAAGAGCAATAAGATTTAATTGCTTTGAAGCATGAGACATCTGATGCTGCTAAAGTTATTTTGTCAAAGATAAAAAGGTTGGAAAAAAAGACAAGATCTATTTCCAAATCAGTAAGTTATTTCAATTTGTATAAAGAAAACAAAACAAAGGATATGTAGAGCGCTATTATATTATAAAAAGTCTCTTTTCCCCTCCACATTTTTCATGTCAAAGACACAGGCTGTTCAACCACCCGCAGCTTTAGCCTTCCCGTAGAAAAGTACCATTATAAAAACTAAAAATATTGGACATCGAGAAGATGATGAACTCCAGTTTAACATCAAGAGCACTTCAAAAATATTAGATGCTGGCCAACAACTGAAGCCGAAATTGCTTATAGTGACTTTGATCCAATGAAATTGCTTATAGTGACTTTGATCCAATGAAATTGCGAATAGTGACTTTGATCCAATGAAATTGGTTATAGTGACTTTTATTCAATGAAATTGCTTATAGTGACTTTGATCCAATGAAATTGCTTATAGTGACTTTGATCCAATGAAATTGCTTATAGTGACTTTAATCCAGAATTGAGATGATTAGCTATAATAGCTATTTAATGTTGTTGTTTTTTGCATTAAAATATTTTGAAATATTTACTAAATATGTTCAATATAGGTTCCATTCATGAATAATAGTACTATGAGCCATCAAAAATTGATTTTTTATTTTCTTTTGAATATTTTACCTTCATTATTTTCAAATTTTTGTTCATTGAGCAAGTTTTAGATATTTTTGAATTTAATTACTTAAAAAGTACTGTACTAAACTTTATGCAACTTTAGTACTGTACTAAACTTAATGCAACTTTACCAATATTATAAAACAGTAACTTTTATTTACTTTACAAAATGTTCAGAAATTTTTTTTAATAAGAAGTTTTTTTTAATAAGAAGTTTTTTTTTTCTTTATTGTCAAATTTATTGTTTTTTAATTTTTGTTGTTGTTGTTGTTGTTGTTGTTGTTGTTGTTGTTGTTGTTGTTGTTGTTGTTGTTGTTGCTGTTGTTGTTGTTGTTGAATTTTTGTTTATTCTTTGTTGTTGTCCTTTGTTTTAAAATTAGTTTTCTAGATTGTTGATTCTTTATCCAAATCTAAAAGTATTTTCTCTATTAAGACCGACCTCTTTGTCTTGAGTATTTTACTTTACCTGCTTTTCCAAATCTTTTTCATGGCTTAAATTTAACATTACCAACGAAACTCTTTAGAGTTATTATTTTTATTATTTTTAGAGTTATTATTTTTATTATTTTTAGAGTTATTATTTTTTACTCCTAAACTTTAACGCTTAAAAAAATAAGATAATGATCCAAATTATAAATGTCATTAGGTCAATAATTTTTTTAGATTTTTATATGTTTTACTAGTAAAGTTTTCAAAGATAAGGTTGTTGGCATATTTATAACTTTAAAAATAATAATTTTTAAATAGCTAAATATTTATTTCATGTATGTTCATCATTTTAATATATGCTTATCATTTTCAGGTCTTTAATTAAAGTTTAGTATGCTGCCCAACAGTGTAAGATTGACATAAAAATATAAGAGTATATTGATTGGTGTCATATCTATTTGATGACTTATTCTTCATCATGTCATATCTAAAGTATATTGATTGGTGTCATATTTTGTTTATTAAATACATTATTGAATGTTCTGTAATAAAACTCTTCTAAAAGTCCATATTGAAAGTTATGGTTTTTTATTTTTTGAAATAATATTTTATTCTATAAAAATAGTTTATCAATGCATTTATTATGACTTTTTGAAGTTTATGAATTTATAAATACATTTGTTATGACTAATAAGGTTTATGATTAATAAGGTAAAGTCTATTATGCATAAATATGTTCTAAAATTTTTGAAAAGTATGATGTAATGAATTATATATTGAAAGCTTCATATATGAGAAAGATTTCATATTATATGTTACTTATAAATATTTCTTACATAATGGATTTCTAGACTAACATTAACGCACATTTACATCCCTAGATATGCATAGTTTCATTAATTTTTTATTTTTTTTCAGATTATCACATAAAATTTCGTAACTATATTTATTTATAGATCATAATTGAAGAATTTAAAGTATTAATTTAATTTGAGACTTTTTATACAAAAGTTTTAACTCCTGTTGGATTCATTTGATTTTAATAGTTTTTTTGTTTGATATTTATAACTTTTTGATCCATAAAAAATAAATGCCTTTTATTATCAAGTTTTATAAAAAAACAATAAAAATTGCCGCTGTTATTGTTGTTAAGTAATTTTAAATATTAAAATTATTGTAAATAAATATCTCTTTTTGCGATTATTTGCTAATTACACTAATAAATAATAATATATAATAACCGTTAATACTTGTTTATAAAAAGTGATGTCGCCAGATTTTATGATGCAATCATTACTTTAGCAACCTGAAGAAAAAAATTGTTTGAAATCCGGAGATTTCCGTAAATTGCTCAAAATATTTAATTGAATTTTATTAGGATCTAGTACACTCTGAGGCAATTCGAATTTAACAATGAGATACGCGAAGAAGAAGTGGCGTTTGATATACTAAGTTACACGTTTTACATCATATCTCAGTCAGAGACTTAGCATGAGATAGAAAGACCGCTTCATTCGAGTTCTAATTATAGCTTGCCAATATGCAAAGTTATTAGCCAACTACAAGGCAATCATAAAAAAGATGGAGACCAAAGGGTTTACGTACTTCAAAAATAAATATTTAAGATAAATGAGCAAAAACAATTATGCCTAATAAATGTAAACTGCGATTGTATTTTTTATTTAAAGTAATGAATAAAAAAAAAAGAAAATTTGATGCATTGCTGTCCACCTTGTGGATAAACCATTGTCCACCTTGTGACTAAACCATATTATTTAAAGTAATTATTTCAAAATTGTTTTCATGACAGATATAAGCAATGATTTCTTGATATTCTTGTCCATGTAAAAAAATAAAAACTAAAACTAAATTAAATAGTAATCCTTAGACGGATATCCTTGGATAAAACCTTATTAAAAACAACCTTACATAATATTCCAAATGTAAACAAAATCTTCACAACGAATTGTAGAAGAAAAAGTTCAGAAAATATAAATAAATACAAAAGTTATTTTAAGTTTTTTAAAAAATATTTTTTTTAAATATTTTAAAAATTTTAATAAAAATATTTATCAAAATCTTTTCCAAACAGCTGAGAATTTGTATTACAGTAATCGAACTTTCATAGGTAAACTTTATATTAATGAAAATGGTCAGTAATTAATGACATAATAGCAGAGGTAAAGTACGACTTTATTAATACATCAAAAAATTAATGTTATTAATTCAGATATGTTCATTATAGTCCAGATGTAATGAGTTTTAATCAAATATCATACGACTTCAATAAGTATTTTATCATTGTTGACTTTTTTTTAATTTTATTTAGGTGCCTTAAAAAGCCCATACGGTGTTATCACAGAGCACCGCAGAAGAGCATTTAAATGGAAGTTCACGCCTCCTTACTCATTCCTTATATGTTCTACATAGCAAACTCTTTTTAAACTAATGATTGGTTCTAAACTTAAAGTCTAAACTTGTAAGAAACTTCTCAATTTATAAAAATAGTTTGACGTATATATAATAATATTTGACCTATATGCCCATATCCGTACTTTCTGTATTTTAAGCTTACCCACGTAATATTTGCATAAGTTATGTAAAAATGAGTCATGCCTAAGTAAATAAGCGTAAGTAAGTAGCCTAAAAAAGATAAGATTTAGACTCGTTGAGTTTACTTTTATGAACCCAAAACATATTTTATTTATTAGAAATATAACAAATGTTCATCAGCAAGAACTCTTAAAACTTTGGTAGTATCTTCCATTTTATTTGTTTATTATTTGTAATAAACTCAGGCAATTTTAGAGGAAACTATTTTGCACAAGTTTGTTTTTATTAGCAAGATTTCAATAACATACTTTATTGATTACTCCGTAACTTTTTATCTGTTATAAGAAAATACAAAAAGGCTTTGTCCACTACGCAGTTTTTGACCCCTCCCCCTCTTCCCCCTTCCCCTCCCCCGTCACACGTTTGTAGCTCTTTAGTAACAAGTCCTGTATGAGTCATCACAAATCCCTCCCCCCTCCCTTTCCTTAGAGTGTGATGTAACTTATGGACGATTGATGATTAACGGTGTCAAATGCTAAAAAATAAATTTATAAATACTCTGAAAATAAAACTTTTCTTTTATTGTCAAAATCATTTGTTTATTCGACTGTTGTACTAATTGCATGTTTAGCTGAATAATTTTTTAAAATTGAAATTGCTAATTTGTAAAATAATCATAGATTTTAAATTACCCGTTTAAAGAACTTTGAAATTCATTTTTAAAAAAAAGTTTTAAAAAAAAAATTTTAAAAAAAAGATTTTAAACTATTATTTAAATGATTTTTCAAGTTTTTAACGATGAAATTTTTCAAATATTTTCTAAATGCGATTACTTACTACTTAAAAATATTCTCTATATGCGATTACTTGAAAATATTCTCTATATGCGATTACTTAAAAATATTCTCTATATGCGATTACTTAAAAATATCGGAGCATAAGTTTTGACAGGATTTACTCAAGATACTTAAGTTTTGTTATGTTGGGGCTTTATAAAAAGATTAGAATAGTTTTTTGCCTTTAACACCACAAATCTTTCTAATTATTCTTAAAGTACAGGTATGAAATCAGGTAATTTAAAATATAAACATCATTGATCTAAATGTTGTTTCAACATTGGTGTGGATGCTGTTTCATCATTAGAGTAGATGCTATTTATTTATGTCTAATAAGAAAACTTAATTTTACAAGGTTTTGTTCAAATAAAAAGTTTTGCGACATCAATTAGGAAGGAGACGTGAATTTTCAATTAAATGCTCATCCGCGGTGCTCTGTGATAAGACCGTAAAGACTTAATGGGGCACCTAAAAAAATTAAAAATTTCAAAAATAATAATCATTTTATAAAACTACTTTTTTTTATTTTACTAAATAAAATTTATTAACTAAAAAAAAAAATTTTCTCAATGTTTTTTACAAAATGATCTTCTGTTTCGAAATTTTTATAAAACTATCCTTTATTTAAGACAATTTAATAAGAGTCTAGGGCCCAGATATTCCAAAATAAGAACAAAAACAGTCCTTAGTATTACTGAATGGTATTACTGAGGTATTAGGTGCATTTGCGTTTCACAAAACCTCTACAGAAATATTCCGTCTAATAGTCGTTTTCATTTGTAATTATTATTTATTTATTTTTTACTTATTTTTTACAAATGACCACGACAAAAAAAAACAACACTTTTTAAAAAATTTCAAAAATAATCGAGAAATATTTCAGAAATGACAGCTTTTTAAAAACATGTCGCGTAGATAATGCTCGACACGGGTGAATAGAGCTAACAATGAAATTTTTAGAAACTATCTTTATCGTATCTATATAGTCTAAAAATCAAAAGGTCTTTTCATTACATATTCAACTCTATGGCTAACTGAACCTGCAGGCATAAAGGTTCAAAATAAAATACTTTGATTTCCTTGGTTTCCGTTGAGTTTGTCTATGTTAGATAAATAAAAAAAACAAAGCCTAGGATTTATTTTACCTGTTGCAATTATCAAATATAACTTAACTTTGATATTTAAGTTCTGTTATATATAAATATATGACATATTAAAACCATATCATGTTGAGAGAGACAAGATTTTAAGTCTGTTTTGCTTTTTGTTAATAGAAGATTAGCTTATTCCCGCGAAGCATTGCATGCTTTAGGGTAATAAACAAATTAATCTGCTTTTTATTTGGTGTAGTTTTTTACATTTCAAACAGTTTTCCATTATAAAACATAGAAATCACAATATAAAATTTAAAAATAGGATAAAAATTTAAAGTACAGATCGTAAACAAAGGAATCGTAAAAAAAAGTAGGGTGTTGTCGCTGTAAACTATAAAACAAGCTCAATTAAAGTGCTATAAGAAAAAAAAAGGTATTTAAAAAAATTTTTCTTACTTTTTTTCCATTTTTACGGAAGAATCCGTTACAAATATGTTATTTTAACATAGTTACAAATATGTTATTTTAACATAGTTCAAAGAATATGATAAGCGTTAAGTTAATATAAATTTAGTTCGTTTATTTTCTTCATTGAGTTGTTGAGTTAAAAATCACAAAAATTTTATCAATCATGTTAAATGCTTTTAATGTTAATAAATTCAAGATTGTTTTTATTGGTAGTTGTCAATGAAATTTCAATCCAATTTAATGGTATTTTCCATGCAATTTACTGGTAATTTCCATGCAACTTATTTGTAGTAGTCCATGCAAATTTCAATGCATTTACATTTACATTGTATATTTGAGAATTTTATCAATATAAGTACCTAAAAGGGGTCTTTAGATTCCTATTGGAAATAATATATAATATATATAATAAACTAATATCATATATAATCATTTACTATTTATATAATAAAGAGTTTCAAATTTACTTTTATTGGTAGTAGCCCATGAAGTTTAAGTGCATTATCATTTAAAAATTTTATCAATATAATCATCTAAAAGTTTATTAAACACCTAATAATTATAGTAAAAGATGTTGCCTTAAACATATCCATTCAAGGAAGCAATGCTTTTTTCAAATGTGCTGACATAATAATCTAATTCAACAAAACTTTTGTTATATTGATTGAAGCTCTTTATGAGGTTGTTTTTGGTTTTTGTAGATTTTAAATAAGTGAATCTGACATAAATATTATTAAATAAGTGAATCTGACATGAATATTTTTGACAAGTTTTAAATACAACTATGAGAAAAAAATTTCTATATCGTTTGCTGGAGTAGTGATAAGTTTGAAACACTTCTAAATTTCCACTTTTTACTGGGCGAATATTTTTTGTTGTTGTTGTTGCTGTACACTAATCACTTATTAGACCCAATAATAGTCCAAAATTACCTAATGCGACTAAATAAATAATTTTGCGTATCTTTTTTTGATTGATGTCAACCGATAAGTACAAAATAAAATATTTTAGATATGAAATCAAAAATCGATAATATGAAATCACACTCGATAATATGAAACTGCACACGATGATATAACCAATAAAAATTTAATGATAAAATTCTTTTTCTTTACAATTCTAGTATAAAAACCGATTTCCCACGTTGATGTAGTTGAGAAAACTTCATTAAATATTTTAAGGAATGAGATTTTTTTGTTTATGCCGGATTTCTTTTTCCATAAGAGTTTCTGCTCGGTTTCTTTCTGTTTGAATTTTGCCTGATCCAAAAGTCTATTACATTTCATAAATCCTTCTAAATGCTTTTTTCTAATTTATTAGATTCCATGCTTATAAGATTCCATGTTTTCGTACTGAGGATGCTGATTATTCAGTATATTTTAATATATATTATTTCACTTAATAAATTTTATTAATTACATATTTTTAGAACTCAGTTTAACACTTTTTTTTTTACTAAACTTTATCTTTGTAGTCATCGATTTATTCAAATATTAAAATTATTTATTCAAATATCAAAAACTTATGCAGAAAATTATTTAATTCAAAGAAAAAAAATTTTAGGGATTTATTTAGACATTGTTAAAGCTTATTCATCGGGAACAGATTCAGCATTATAACACATACAGACTCTATCAGCATATATTGGCTCTATGACGATATTATATGCTTAAAAACACGTCCCATATGTTTGTGCTTACGTATTAGCTTACAAAGTGAATTAAATGCTGTAAGTACTGTTATGAATAAAATATTGTAAATATTGTTATGAATAAAGTATTGTTAATTTTTTTTATGAATAAATATTGTAAATATTGTTATGAATAAAGTATTGTTAATACTTTTTTGAATTAAAAATTGTTAAAATTGTTATGAATAGACTATTATTAATATTTTTATGAATTAAATATTGTTAATACAGTTGTGAACGAAATATAGTTAATATTTTTATGAATAAAATCTTGTAAATATTGTTATGAATAAAGTTAAATGTATTTATTTTTTTGCATTTTTCTCTGTCGATTTAGTTGTTGTTGCTTCTTCTATATCTTGCTATTTACTTTTGTTTAATTAATATATGTAACGTATTACATAAAGTTTAGTGTTGTAAGTAGTGTATGTATACTTTTTAATTCAAGTTTGCCTTTATTTTGCCTTTTTATATTTGTCTACGGAAACTTTTTTCTCTCACTCTATCTTTTTGTACTAATGTCATTTAAATTTGCATTTTTTCCTACATTATATTCTCTCTCAGCTTATCTCATCCGTTCATTCTCTCCCTTTTTTTCGTTTCTCATCCGCTCATTCTCTCTTTTTTTTTCGTTTTTCATCCGTCCATTCTCTCTCTCTCTTTTTTTCGTTTTTTTTAGTCTTACTTGTTTAATATTTTTGTTCTGATTCCAATTTTTTTAATATTATTGTTTTGATTTTTTTTTTTAGTATTACTTGTATTATTGTAGTTTACTCTCTTTATTATTTCCTTGTCTTAATATAATTATATGAGTGACATTTTGTCTAATTTAAAAACTATGATTAAATTTATAATTTTTAATCTTTATGGTTAAATCAATCAATAATATATATATATATATATATATATATATATATATATATATATATATATATATATATATATATATATATATATATATATTGTTAAAATTATAATGAATAAAATATTGTTATTAATTTTATTAATAAAATATTGTTGATATTATACCTTACAAATAACTATATATGGGGTAGAGCGGGGCTAGTTATGCAATTTTTACTAAACTTAACAGATCTCATGAACGGTGCGTCGGATTAAGATAATTTTTTTCACTACTTGAAAGATAATTTAATCTGCTAAAAATTTGTTAAGAAAAAAAAGTGTAATTTTTGACTTTTTTAAAAATTCAAAAAGTACACTTTTTTTCTTAACAAATTTTTAGCAGATTAAATTATCTTTCAAGTAGCGAAAAAATTATCTTAATCCGACGCACCGTTCATGAGATCTGTTAAGTTTAGTAAAAATTGCACAACTAGCCCCGCTCTACCCTATTTATAGTTATTTATAAGGTATAATATTAACAAAATATTTTATTTTTTAAAAAGTTTAAAAAAAAAATAATACCTAAATTTTGCGGAGCAGCTCAACCTGCCCTAGCGGGGTAAGTTGAGCAATAATGTAGGACAAGTTAAGCAATCAACAAATGAATGAATACGAATGGCATGAAACTTGTTTGAATCACCAATAAAACTTTCACTAACTTAAGTGTTTAATTTTTAAATTTTTTAATTTGATAAACTTTAATGACGTAAGTATGATAAGAGAAAAAATTTAATAGTACAAAAACGTCATAAAATATAAAAATATTACTTTATACAATTATCTTGAACTTTGAAGCTCGATTTAAAAAATATTAACTTTAAAAATATTTATGAATAATGTTGATATCAAAATTGATAAAAAAATAATTTAAAATTATTTTTTATCAACTTTGATAAAAAAAATCTAAATTATTTTTTATCAAAGTTCTTTCTTTGTGTTCAGTTTTATTTATTTTTTTAAAGCTGCTCAACTTACCCCTACTAAACTAAGTGACACATTAGTTAGATTTTAAAAAGAACAGTAAGACTTAAGAAAAAACGACTAGTTTTTATCAAAAGTCCGATAAGTTGCTAAATTATTAACAATTAATTGTTAATATTTTGTTATATAATATAATGTTGTTTAAAAAATATTTTTAATATAATGTTAATATATTGAATGAAAGCTGGGGAATTAGAATGTTAACACAATAAAATATTGTTGGAAAGCAGTTGAGTAAGATACACGGGCACTTTTACTACTATCGACCAAAAAAATAAAAATAAAAGTTTTGTTATTTTTTGCTTAGATGCTTATAAATTTTTTTTATCTGACATAACTTAATTAAGTCAGATAAAAAAAAAATTATATAAAAACATTCTAATTCCCTAACTTTCATTCAATATATGTTTTGTCATGAGATGCGTAGTTTTAGAGATATTTTAATTGCCCCAATTGTCCCAATGCTCAATTATCCTTGCACTACCCTACGACAATTAGCCCCTACTACTACAATTAGCCCCGCTCTATCCTACATGTAATAAGTATATTAGACTAAAACTATAATTAGTTTTACCCTTGCACAAGTTGAATAAATGTTTTTCTCTTATTTTTAATTTTTCTTAATTTTTTGAAACTAAATTACAATTTAAAATGTGAAACCAATGTATGTACTTGATGTATGAAACAAATGTACTTGAACTTTTCTATCATTTGCCGTTCGACGATTTACTAATTTATAAAAATTCAAATAATAAAAGGTATACAAACTGACTATGTTGATAATTATACGTTGAATAAAATATATTCATATAACGATATATATTTTTTGATTTTTATATACTTTTTAAAAAGTTTTTTGAATATTTTAAGAAATTTCAATTTCCATTCAAAGAAAAACTGTGAACTTATAATGATTTTTTTTTTTTTTTTTTATCGTGGTCTTATTAGTGAACAAAAATCTAAGATTTGTAATTTTTTTTTATTTAGGCTTTAAGTTTTGTACTAAAAAGAAAAAAAAAATGAAGAACATAATATTTCAGATAATAAATGAGTTTCAAGAACACAGAATGAAATTAAGAACGTATTTCAGATAATGATTGCGTTTCAAGAACACAGAATGAAATGAAGATTGGATGACCAAGGAAAAAAACAATTTAAAAATGCGTTTGACAAAAACTGGATATTAAATACTAATGAAAAAAATAATTATTTAACAATAAAATTTGAATTTACAATATGAGTCTAATAAAGACATTAAAAAAAGTAGTTATTTTTATTACAGTAAAATGTGTTAAAGGGCACACAAGAGGTGGTTTAGTATAATTTGTAAATGGTCCGCGTTTTAATATCGTGCGTCATTCCGCGAACATTTTGTTTTGTCATAAATTTAATACCGTAACTCGATTATTGGATTCCACATGACAGAATTAAAGTTTTTAAAGTCAATTGGCTTTTTTTTTATTAGCTAAACGTATAATTAAGGTATTTATATAAATATTAATTAATATTTAAATAATTATTTTTATTTTTAATAAAAAATAAAAAAATGAAAATAAAAAAAAATTTAAAAACAACGCAATAAATAATATTTAAATTATTTAACTACCTTTAATGAAGTGGAATAATTATACGTATCATTTGTAAAAATTTATAAGTATTTATGATAACTTATGACAATTTATGATTTAACTACTTATCTAAATTATTTATTTAAAGCAAAAAATTAAAAACAAAGAAATTTTAATTTTAAGACTCAACAAATAAACCTTAATACCTTTATTAAGATTTATAAATAAACTATGAAATTTTAATTAATAATAATTTTTCTATTAACTGCAGTCTTTTTATAGGCGTATCCATTAACAGCAGACGACCGTTGTTGCGTACATTTTTAACATTGATGACAATATTAAAAAATAATAATATAGCGACAATAACACTAAAAATAAAAAAAAAATTATTTTAATTTCTTAAATAATAAATTCCTCCGAGATTACATTTATTACACGGTTTATTTACAGAGAGCTTGTATAATCTATAAATACCATTTATTTTAAACACCTTTTGCTGAAAGTTATTTTCAAGCGCAGAAATGTACATTTCAAAAAGATCCTTGTAAACTAACTGCAGGAGGGAAAAAAAATTTGTTATTACAATATTTTTATTGAGGCCCCGTGTGAGCTTTACTAGTTTAGATTAAAACAAAGTTGTTAAAAATATGTAAAACTACATTATAACATAAAAGGATAAAAAGTCTTAATAATTATTTACGTCAAATTAATTAAAGTAAATATTCATATCTGTAATTTGAGCAACTGTCATTCATATAAACTGACGATCTCTGTTAAATATAAAGAAGAAAAGTTATTAAGGTGGTGCACCTTAAAATATTCCAAAATGTTCAAACTTAAAAATAAAAAGATAAATTTTATATCAATAAAAATTTCATTAATTTAGAATGCTATTTTAAACGTCATTTTACTTTGCCTCGAATTTATCGAAAAGCATTCATTTTAATTGGTCCATTCAAAACACGATAACTTATAAAATATATTAACACAACATCCATGAAATTTTTTACATATGTTCTAAACTTTTCAGGTAAGGTGACATTCAACTTGTTTCTACGCGGAGCGGCCTTGTTCGTCAAGGTTTGTGTTTCGGAGTTATAGAGTTGAGAGAGGGTTATAACCACTATTAAGTAGCCTCCTCGTCTGTAGTGGCCTTCTCGGTATTGAGGAGGTGAATAACAAAAAAAAAAAAAATTGGATTTTAAAATTTTCAAAGTACATAATTTATTCAAAGTACATAATCAGTAATATCAATTTTTTTACATAAAGTATAAAAAAACATTTTTAGAACTTAAAATTAAAAAAAAAAAAAGATTGGAGCAGAATTTAAAATTTCGAAATGTTTTTCCCTAGAAAATAGCATAATAAACATTTCGTGAAAATTTGAAGTGATTTGCACTTCTGCTTCTCAAACAGACAATGTTTTGCAAAATTTGAAAACAGAGAAAAACGCAAAGGAAAATTAAATATTCTTGTCATTCCTATATATAATTTTTTTTAGTTAATTTATCGAAAAATTAAAAAATAAGTTAAATAAGTTAGGACAAGCTTTTTATATTATTTATCTTCAATAAATTGCCTTTCAAATGAACGAAATATTAAAAATTCACTTTTTTTTTTCAATTTTCAGAAAATATTTGATGTTATACCACCTTAAAGACAAACAAATAAAAAAATAAAACTTGATGTTCATTATGAAGTAATTATACTTTACTACACAACATTATCTGAATTTTTTGTTTTTTATTGCACTCTTGAAGGATTTTAACTTTTTTATTTAATTAGTTATTTTGGTGCTCCAAAAAGTTCGGCCTTATCAAAGAGCACCATTGAGTAGCATTTAACCAGGAAGTTCATGCCATTCTTCTTACCAATGATGCATATATAGCCAGAACTCTAACCACTACACCACAGCTGCTTTCATACCTAAACCTTTTGTATATTTAAAAGTTTTCTATAGTTTAGGTCAGCGGTCTGCTATTCCAAATTCAAACTTTTTATTTTATTTTATTAATTCTTGTGCGGGTGGCTGATTTTATAAGTGCGAAGCAGTTGCAAAAACTGGAATAACAGCATTTAATTGTTCTATTCCAGTTTTTGCATAAGTCTGAACTGGCATAAGAGTAAAGCAGTTGTGGCATAAGTGCTACAACTGCTTCGCTCTGATGCCAATTTTTTCAACTGCAATTTTTTCAGCTACTTTGCAATTATGCTTAGAGCAGCAATGACGCAGTGGTAGCGCACTTGCCTTAGACACAAAGGATCCGTTGTTCAAACCCCACCTCTGAGCATGTTTGGCAACATTGGGTAGGAAGGAGGGGTGAACTTCCTATTAAATGCTCATCCGTGGTGCTGTGTGATAAGACCCTAAGGACTTCTTGCACCATTCGCACTTACGCCATTTGCACCTAAGCCAGTTTGCATTTATAAAATTCGCGTTTATTCAGTCGTCCCATTCTTGTCTACATAAAGGATTGTGTTTTACAATTAAAATATTTACTGGAATTTTCTCAACATTACAGAGGAGACATAATACTAGCATACAAAGATTCGTTCATGATCAGTATTTTTTTTATTTGTACATTTGTTGAGATATTAAATACTGGTTTTTATTAAAATAAATTCATATCGAAAAAAGTTTATAGTATAAGGGAATGAGGAGAAGAAAGGGAGTGGTGTGGCTGTAAAAAAACCAATTTGATTTTCAGGTATTATTAAATTTATAGTAATTACAAGAACATTTGTCTTTTGAAAAGCTATTTTATATATATTTATCATTTGCATGAACTCCATTGGTTCATTCTTAGAGAATCGCTTTTGTTTATAATTTATATAAACTTATCATTTAGATTTTTTGGAATAGAGCTATTATTCTATTTATAAATAAAAAAATTTTCTTATAAATGTAAATTTGCATGTTTCTCATTAATGGTTTTGCATTTCATATTTATTTTTCTAATAAAAAAAAAACTCATTTAGACATAAATGCGTTTTTTTAATATTACAATAACTAAATGCATTTTACAATTTTTGAATTAGTAACGACGGGACTCGTTACTAGAAGATCATGAGGATCTTGTCATGAAGCCCTTTACAATATATGGTTAACTTTT